TAAAAAAAGTCTCCACGATAGAGTCTTACCTGACCGTATCTCCTTCTGACTTAGGGTGACCAGACAGCAAATGTGAAAAATCGGGACGGGAGGTGGGGGGGTACAAGGAGCCTATATAAGAAAAAGACCCAAAAATCGGGACTGTCCCTATAAAATCGGGACATCTGGTCATCCTGTTCTGACTTCATTAAAAAAATAAGCCAGCCAGTATCAGATTTCAGTGTCTCTGGTCCTCACGTACAATCTGCCTTCATCCCAATCATCCTCTTTTTTTTTTTTTTTAATAAAACAGCATGGGCAGTTCAGCTGTGAAGTGATCATCTAATAATCTTTCTTAGGTGTGGGGTTTTTTAACCGCTTTTCCAATTACTACTTTTGTAAGATGAATAGGGAGGGAGAAAGCTGCTCTGCTGTAACATATGCATGTCTGATTATAGAAGAAAGGGGAAATACCCACCCGAAGAAGCTCTGGTTTGGCAAAAGAGTCCCCTGATCAAGTCTGTATCCAATATTGAGCTGATAACAGGTTTGACGGTAGCTAAGAAGCTGGAATTGTCTTCACATCATGGGGGAGCTGTTCTCTAGGAACAGCAGTGATAAGATGAAACAAGTGACCTGGTGACTTCCTGAGACACTCCTTCTTAAGGCACAGAAAGCCTGTGAATCTCTGGCCCTGCCCCACGACAGCTTTAAAATGATCATGGAAAGTGACACAGCTTAAAGATGTCGGCCCCAGGATATGGATTTATGGCTTATTACAAAATCTATAACCCACCAACAATACCCCCAGCTGCTTTCCCCCCATGACTGGAGGGGTGTTAATGGGTTGCTTCACCTTGAATGGTCCCTTGAAATATCTGTTAACTACTTGTGCTAAACCATCTGTTCCACCTTGGGTTTAGGTGTGACACTCTGAGGGCTAGTCTACACTAGAATCGCGATAGCGGTGCAGCTGTATCGATGTAGCTGTGCCGATATATCACTTGCTAGTGCAGACACTCTATGCCAACAGGACAGAGCTCTCCCATCAGAATAATTACTCCACCTCCCTGCTGACATAGCGCTGTCCACACCGGCGCTTCAGTCGGGGTAACTTGTGTTGCTCGGGGTGGCTTTTTCACACCCCCGAGCAACTTAAGTTATACCAAAATAAGTGCTAGTGTGTACAAACCCTCAGTACGTTTCCCAGACCTGAAAAAGAGCTCTGTGGAGCTCGAAAGCTCATCTCTACACCCACAGTAGTCGGTCCGATAATAGATATTACCTCACCCTCCCTGTCTCTCTCATAATTTAACCATAGCTAATATCCCAAGTGAGAAGGGAGGGGTAGGCATTATTAAGACTCTGGCTCTAATTAGGCAGCTATTAATTGTCTGAGCCTAGTCAGACCCTCTAGGCCTGGAGAGGGAGAGCATGGGTGAGAATCACTACGCTAGTGCCCTAAGTGCATGAGCCAAACTCCTCCGTGGTTTAGTGCCATTACACAAGGGATGAACCTAACTCAGTGAGGCTAAAAAGCCCATTGGACTGGTTCTGAATGGATTTTTCATCTTTGCCAGTAAAACCTACTTCTTTGCACGTACCACCGAAAGAAGGAATTGGTTACATTTCCAGGAACTCTTCTGGAGAGGGGCAGAAATAATAGGCTAATGGAGCTTTGAAGGTATCGCCAAATTGAACAAGGTGAGCCCTTCTCCTCAAAATGCGCTTGGGATCGGGGCATGGCTTCAGCCTGTTTCTGACGGAAAATACCAGCTCTTAGGCCGGGGGTTCTCAGGACCGATTATTTGGTGGCCTCAGAGTGTGGCCACCAACTCTTGCAGGTGACCGCTCTCTCACTTTTTTCTAAAATACTTAATTACCTTTAGGAAAAACAAATAAATATGCACAACTATACATCCAAATCACTGTAACTTATTTATTGCTAGCTAGTAAGTCTGCTGTGAAAAGTGATATTAACAAACATACAAGTATCACTTTTCACAGCAGACTTACTCAGCCCTAGCAAGTCTGGGGACCAGTTAAGCCCTGGATGGGGGATCGGGGGAGGCAGCAGGGGGTTTGTATGGGGAGGCAGTGGGAGGACAGAACCCAGAGCCTGGGGCTGGAGCCCAAAGCCCTGCAGCCAAAGCCTGCCGTCCATGCCACCCCTGGGCTGATGCCCGAAGCCTGAGCCCCACCACCCCTGGGAAGGTGGGGAACTCACCAGCTGTCTGCTCCTCCAGCATTGTTCCCCAGGTGTCTCCAGAGCGGGGCAGGGCCCAACTGGAAACCCCAGCAGCCAACACCAAGGCTGTGCATCTAGGAGCACCAGGGAGTGGGATGGGCCACTCCCCCCCACACACACACACACATCACAGCCCAGGAGGCTGCCACTGCAAGAAAAGTCCCAGGTGGCCACATGTGACCACGGTGGCTGCATTTGAGAAACTCTGTCTTAGGCTGACACCTGCCCAGTAGAAACTGATCTGAGGTATCCATTCCAAGGGTGCATGCCCACATGCCGGGGGGCGATTAGCATAGCTTCCCCTCAGCCCTGCTCTACTGAATGTAGGGGAGCCTACTACTGATCAGTGTATTGTCTCAGCAGAGCAAATGAAAAATACTCATTCTGCTCCATCTAGAGCCTTGAACCCTGATGGCATTAGCTGTAATTCATGGTTGTGTTGGGTGTTTTTTTTTTGGTGAAGGAGGGGAAGTGGAGGAGGTGGCGCATAGGAGCACTTTTAATTATAGGTATCTCCCCCCATCTTTTTGGAATAAACTTTATGGCCGCATGGCTCTGGCACAATGGTCACCCAATGCTACCTTGCAATTTCTGAGGGGAAATGTAGGATCTTCCCCGCCCACCCGCTAGCTTGTCCTCTCTGCATAAAGTGCCCTTCTTGCTCAGAGAACCCGTTAGGCCTAGCAAAAACTGTAATGGGATTGGCCACCGTGTATACCTTGTTTAAAAATCTCATTGGCTGTGAAGCAGTGGGTTAAGTTTTCATTGCATACTTTGCTAACCTTTCTCAGTGTTTCTAGAGGTAGGTGTTTTTGGGGGGCGGGGGCGGCTCCTGGGGCATTGATTCTTTTCAGACTCAGAACAGAGATACCCCTTTCTTCTTTAAAGGCAAGTGCAAATGTGTGTATCTCATGGCTGGACATTCTGTGGTTTCAAGTGCCTCTTCTAGGTGACCTTTGGTCTGGTTGCTGGAAAAATTTCTCTTCTTGGGTTAAGCCTCGCAAAAAAATGATTCCTACACACAGGAAGCGTCTTTTTTTTTAAAAAGTGTGTGTGTGTGTGAGGGGAATCAACTGACATGCAAGTGACGGCTGAAGGCAGTTGTTGTGTCCCTTACTTGATACAACAGAATATCCCTTGTCTGTTGTTGCCGACAACCAAGCCATTCTCCCTGTTATCTAACCTGGCAGTAAAATCTATCATTCGGGGCCCTCTCATTCTATGCTACATGTACATGCTGTTGCTCAGTCCTGTGTCTTGTCCTCTGTACCTCGTCACAAAAATCCATTCCTTTGTCCACCTGTACCACAGAAACCCATTTTCTAATCTAGGCCCTGGCAACCTCTTCTCTGGACTTCAGCAGCCTCTTCTCTGGCTTGCCCAACTCCCCTGTAGTCAGCCCAGCAGTCTACTGCCAGAAGTGCTTTCTCTGCTGTTATTTTGACTGTCCCTCCACTCTGACTCTCCCTTGCCTTCTGCATCAAGTCTGTACCCTTTGTCCTGACCTTGGAGAGAAGACCAGAGCAGAACTTTCAGTCTCCTCTTGCCTTTTCTGCTCTGCGTGTCTGACTCCCATCACTTCTTCCACTCTCATTTCAGAGCCTTCTCCCACCCTTTCCTTAATGCTTGAAGTCACTGCCCTCTGCAGTCCTTTCCTCCTTTTGAAATCCCTCCTTCCTGCCCTACTGCTGCAAGGTTCTCAGTGTTAACCCTCTACTCTTTGAACTGTTACGATTCATTTGAAAACAGAACTGCTTGGAATTCCTCACTCCAAAAAAGCACAATGCGGCAGCAGCTGCATCCCCCACCATATGGTGCCTGGAACCCTATTTATAGTTCCCTTGGCTTCTGTTCCTAGACTATCATGTCCCTGTATTGTAATCTATGTACAGCTCCAAGCATGTTGTTGGTGTTCAGAGGATTAGTAACTTAGTGGTGGTTTCCATGGGGAATGCCTGTATCTTGCATGCAGCTAATGGAGGTGCAGGGCACTGGACTGGTTAATGCCTCATTGGCCAGTTTCCGGGGAGTGGTGTGAGAACTTTATTTCTCTTCCCCTTGAACTGTGACTCTTTAAAAAGAGTTTGAAGGGCAGAGGTTGCAATAAATGAGTCTCTGGGGATGGGGGGGCAACCTGTGTCTGAAGGGAATCTATCCCCCTCTCTGCTGGATGGTCTGGGTGCGAGAGAATATATTGGCCAGCTCTTTTTCCCATGCCCACATCTCCTATAAGTGATAGCAGACTACAGGAGGTCTGGCGAGCAGGGAAGAGCATTGTTGAAGAGTCCCCACTTAGAGGGGCTTCAGGGAGATCTGTGTCTAGAATGCAGCCTCTGGCTTGTTGCGTAGTTGTGTATGCACCACTCCAAAGCCGTTGGCTCCTCTTGGGTAAAGTTTGCCCAACGTTGTTGATCTGTGAAATTAGAGCCCCTAACCCTTCACTGGCTGGGGATGGGAGAGAGAACTTGACCTCCATCTTCACACTGCAAAGGAGGGAAGGGTTAGCCCCACGTTGAAGGTGGGGCACAGCCTTGCTCAGATCCGCACGGCAGTGGAGTTGGGGGTTAAACACTGACTTTCCTGACCCTCTCTCCATCCCATGCTGCTGTCTGTCATTTAAAGGCCTCACTCAACTCCCGTGGCCAGGGGGACTGGAAACCATGGGTGCCGTTATGGGGGGAAAGGGAGGGGTGGGGCTTTGTGCTTCCTTCCTCTAAATTGGCTGAGAGCGCCTGTGAATCACACCTGGATTTTTTTTCTCCCTCCTTTTCAGGGATGCTTGAATATGACCCAGCCAAGAGATTTTCAATACAGCAGATAAGGCAGCACAAGTGAGTGTTCAGTTCTTCCTATTAGTCATTCTCTTTCTGCTTCTTATGCTAATGTACCTGTGCTATCGCTGTGAACTTATTTTTTCTTTTGACAGCGCACATGGAAGTCCCTAGATATCCTTCCCCCAACTCTGCTGGAGCTCTGGCAACTTGCATGTAAATCTAGTTGGCGTTCTTTTTTTCTTTAAGCGTCTTGCTGGAGCATTTCAGTTGTTAACTGGTAAATAATGAAGGTGTTTAAAATGTGTTTCTAGCACGAATAATGAGCTTCACGGGCCAGATAGTAGCAGCGTGGGCTGGGGAGGTGGGCTCGGGGGGATCCTTGAAGCTGAGGATGTTGAAGTAGGGATTTGGATTAATGTTTTCCGTCTCTTTACGTCCAGGAGACGGAACAACTGGATTTCAGCGTAGTGGCAGAAGTGACCCTGAGTGGTGGTTGCTCAATATGGAATCCAGAGATTGAGGAAGGATTCCAGGACAGGGAATATTTTGTCTGCCCTTTTTAACAAATTGTTCAAACGTGCTGCCTCTGAGCAGAGATTTCCTGGCTGGATAAAAGTACAAGAACAAAAAGTGCTCTAAGGATGCTTCAGCGAGGAGGCAGTGAGAGCTTGTCTCCTGTTTGACTAGGAAGTGCTCCTGAGGGCTAGGATGCCGCTGCTCAGCAGAGCTCTTGCATATGAGTTTGCCCAAGAACACTTTTGGGAACCCTGTAAAGACCAGGATCCGATTCTGCAAGGCGCTAGGCGTGGTCTGCTCCTAGTGACTGTGGCCAGAAGCATGTGTCCCCTGGTCTTTCCTATGGAAAAGCTAAAGCGGTAGACCAGGTGCTGTCATTCGATCCCCTGGTGAATGTCATGAGGGAGTGTGGAGCAGGGGGCTTGCAGAAACCTTGGCTCAGAACCAGAGAGGGATTTGAACTTGTATTCTGTACAGCTACATCAACCTAATGCCTAGAAAGAGCAAAAGTGTGAAGAGCAGCTGCCTTTAAGAGACAGCTGCCTGGTCAGTTAAATTAACAGGCACACTGACCCTTTACTAGCAGGGTAGACCGTCCCCTTTTTGAGACATGTGCATGCTGGTTGTCTGACTGGGTCTGAGAGAGGAATGTGCACTTGCAGTGGAGGAGACTCGGGTTAGTCCTGGGCCATAGAGGGGACTGTTTTTGGGGTGACGGTTTGAACTCTGCACGAGCAGGAAGCATCTGACTTTATGGCACCATGACTCTTGGGTCAGTGGCTCCTGCAAGTCCATGCTAGTTTATTTTTGCTGCACCCTAATATTGCCACCAGCCACTCTTCCCCTGTCCACCATTGACTCCTTCAGTGTCAAATGCTTTTGCTGATCTCAGGACCCCTCCCGTTCTACTCTCTTGCTAGTTCATCACTGCTGGTGCTAGGCTCCTGCAGTCAGACCAGCGCCTTGTCAATGAGTGCTGCATTGAAGCATGTCTTGGCCTGTCTGTGAAATGGGCTAATAGATGTTGGAAAGGATTAATGCACTGCTTGCCATTGTCCCTGCTACTTTGTACTGCAGGATTGTGGGGCCCTTCAAGCGTGGGGCTGGGCCGCTGGCTCCCATGTGTTGCTAGCTGCCAGGTATTTGAGCTGCTTAGCCGACTCTGTACCCTTGATTCCCTTGTGGCAAAGAGCTTTTGAGTCTGCCTCGCTAGGCTGCAAGCGAAGAGAGTTTCTCTAGAGACCCTGCAGATAGTCAGAGCAAGCAGGAGAGAGGAGAAAGTAGAGCAAGCTCTGGGCGCAAAGGGCCGTGGCAAACCTCACATGCTCAAATGGCAGTCGTCTCATCTAACTGGGCACAACTGCTGCTCTTGAGGCTTTTAACCCTTCCAGGATAGAGAGGAAGGGTAAAGAGCCTCTCTTCCTGCAAATACAGTAGCTGGTATTTCCAAGGATTAGTCTTAGTTTTCTGTTGGCTTAGCCAGTACCTCTTAACAGGCTTCCCAACACCTCCCTCCCCCCCGCCCCCATTAGTAAATGCCTCCCTGCTCCTGCTGTGAATCCCAATAATTACAATGGGCACCGCGAACTGACACCCTTGGGCCCAGGGCGGGTCTGTCCATCGCCCTCTTGCAAATGCTGGCATGGCAGCAAAGCATGTGCTTGGAGAAGAATTCACGCCTCCTGGCTTTGTTTTAACAAATTAAATGGAAGGACTTAGTCCCAACTTCTAAATAAGCTGCAATCAAGTTAAATGCAATTGACCATAGCCAGTGGTGAGTCTGTGGGTGTTCATCCATATATTGACTGGCAGACAGCTTTTCTTCAAGTGCATTCCTAAAATAATCAGTTTTAATCCCCAGGAGCAGGGCTGGCCCTCTGTCTTCTCAGACCTTTAGAATAACACTTTACCCTCTCCAACACCTTCCATCACAATCAGTAACGGTTTGATATTTACACCTCCTCTCTCCGGCCCCTGGCCCACCAAGTTGATATTTATCCCCATGTTACACGTGGGAAACTGAGGCATCGAGCAATTGAAGTGACTTCCCAAAAGCCCCACAGCTGAGCTGGGAATAGATCCCAACTCAAGCCTGAGATAGCTGGCATCTCTCCTTATCCCTGGTATGCTGTTTCTAGAAGTTTGATCCTTTGGTTGAGAAGCTGAACTGATGTCACTGGTGATTGCCCATGCAGAAGGTAAAGGTCCTTGGGCATTCCAACAAGACTGCAGGAATAGCCTCTGGCGTCCAGGCCAGTGTTTTCTCCAGCTTGGAATTGGGCGGGTGTGAGCTAGAACAAGGCTCCCATCCGTGCGTGAGAGTGGAGAAATGTTCCCTGAGTCATCCTTGTGCTCATTCTGTTCTGTGCTCAGTGGTGCAGGAAGCTGCATGCTGTTAAGGGAACTAGCAATCTGGTTGAAACAGTCTTGGGAGTTGGGAGACCTGGGATCTGTTCCCAGCTCTTCAGCAGATATGCTGTTACTTTGGACAAGCCAATTCTCCTCTCTGGGACTGTTTCCCCAGCTACAAAATGGCAGTTACTTGCCCCCTGGGTGCGGGCGGAGATGTGAGAACCAACGATGGATCGAATGAAGTGCTGTGGAAGTGCCTGGTATTATTCTCTTAACACGGCAGAGCCGATGGAGGTAGAAAGGGCCTGGTAACACTTGGTGCAGACTTATTGTCCACCCTCTCAGCCACTGCCATTCCTCCACACTTTCTTCCCAAGGCTGTTGCTTCCCCCTTAACGTGGCAGCTTCCTCACACCACATGACCTGGAGAGGGTGAGTAGAGGCCTATGACATCTGTGAATGGGAACAGAGCTTGCCGTAGACTCTCTGGTTTCTGCCAGACGCCTTCCCCTCGTTCCCCCAAACTAAATTAATTCTCTTGCATTACATTTGTATTTACAGTGTTGGGGTTTGTTTCATCTGTAGTTCAACAGGGACGTGCTAACCTTTCCCAGCCCTTTCCGCACTCCAGCAGCTCTCTCAAAACTAGCCGCTCTCCGTTGCAGTTTCATGAACCATCAACTGAACTGGAATGAATTAAAATTCTCCTAGCCCGCCAGCCAGGGCAAATTATTCAGTCTGAGCTGACAATAGTCGACCCACGAGTACTAACGACAGAGCCTTGGAGCCTGCTGCCTCCAGGGCAGTGCTGGTTGGGGAAAACCAGCCTGGTAGTGCATCTTTATGAATTTTTTTTAAAACCGCCTTTGTTGTAAGCTTCTCAGACAAGTGCTGGTGTAGAAACATGGCCCAGTGCAGACACGCTGCCCAGAGCCAGGGAGGCAGAGCCTCTGGTTCCCTGTGGATCGCTAACCCTCTGCCCTGCGCTGTTACTGAAGGGCTTAATGCTCATAAACTGCATTTGGTAACTTTAATTCAATGACCCTGCAGCAGCACTTACAAAGAAAATCGAAAGTGATGAAGTGGCTGCAGAATCCTACCTCTGCCCCTGGTTTCCAAGGCAACCATCTTGCCTTCTTCCCCAGAAGCGTCACGCTTAATTTGTTCAGCCATAGATATGATTGCAACGGTTCATAGCAAGCGAGAGGGAGCACTTGGCTCTTTACTGGTGGAAGCTGGCCTGTTACGCTGTGACCTCGCAGAGGCTAGTGGGCCACCTCTTCTCTCACTCACCAAAACGTCCTCAGCAGCAGATGCAAAGGGGGTCTGTGGAAAGGCTTTCCTTGCTGCTCGGATGCATGGACTAAAAGCCTAAGGAATCTGTTCTCATATTGCCACAGTACTGCCCTTCAAAGGCTCTGAGCATACTTGATAATGCATGTGCCTATATTCGAGGTATCCTATGGGGCTATCCAGCGCTCACTGGGCCATGGGCTTGAGGTCTAATAGGCCTTTCCCATCTGTGGTGGTGTGGGAGGATGCAAACCCCAAATTCTCCCCTGGATGCAAGGTACTGATGGGAAAGCACCTGCTCCTCTTCTCCTGCTCAGCCCTCTGGGTCTCGCTTATTTCTCAGTGTGTGGCGCAGAGGTGGGAATTTTTAATTCTTCTACCCACGCTCTGCAAATGAGTCTCTTAACGCGAGCGTGTTAAAGGCATTAACGCCTCCATCTGTGCTCTGAGCACCATTCTTCCTCCTGCACGTCTCTTGTGTTGGAGTCTGAAGTACGACCTCTGTGTCCAGTATCAGCTAGGGAAACGGCTCCCCTCTTCTTTTCTACTTACTTCCAGTGTTCACTGAACTGAGGCTGGAGAAACCAGGGTTTGCCCCCTACATCTTCTGGCTGTTAAGTAGGAGTAGCTAGTGCCCCCCCATCAGAATACACATCTGATTAGCTTGCCATTCCTAGCAGAGAACTATTTTATGACTTCCTTCTCCAGCCAGCTCCTGCATAATATCTGTGGGATGAAATCAGAATGCTGCTAGTAGCTCTGTGCAATGGTGCTGACCTTCTTGTAACCCAGTTTGTGTTCATGGCCCATATGACTAGAGGGTAGGGAAATGCAAGTAACCTACCCTTTTGATAAGGGTTGAATAGCCTGCAGCTAGGCATCTGGTTGTCAGAGTC